AAAGTTGACAATATGGGCAGAATGAAAGGAAATCTCCTCCTTCGCTTCCTCTCCTGGCTCGACATACCACCTACGTAATACCCATCTATTTGCCAAAGGTTGAGCCGGCCAGGACTCATTCTTTTCACAGGCCCATACAGCTGTCTCATTGTAGAGCCAGGCGAAATAAACAATGCCTGTTCATTTCCTGCCTTTCTCCCGAGGATCGGTGCCCCAGATGACATGTTCTTTCCTTCTTACAATGGTCTCCGCAGGGTCAGACAGGCCAGTAGGCATTGTGTGCTTGGGGGACAGTTGAAGATATGGAGGCAAGGGGGGCAAAAACAGGGCCCAAATCAGAGCTTGCCATCCAGGCTGGTGTTCATGATAAGAGGGCAACCAATTTCACTTGACCCGGTAATTCAGATATTAATGACCTAGCCTGGGGCATTTTATTTCCAGATATAGGTTTTCTTAGGATTAGATATGAGAGATATGGCGTTCTGGGTACCCGTGAAGCCCTGTGGTGACCCTCAAAACCAAGATCAACCCCACTTTTCCATGCTAGACTTCCTGAGATAAAGACAGATTTAGAAATAGCCCTCCGTTTGGATTCCATTCCAGGTCTACCCTTGTCCCCTACTAGCATTGTGACTTTCAGCAAGTTAATTAAGATCATCTTATCCAAAGTGAGGTGGTGGAGGTTGTGGTGGTAATGAGGATGGTGGTGATGGTGGTTGTGGCGATGGTGTTGGAATTGGTGATTTTGCATATGGTGGCAGTGGTATTAGAGGTGGTGGTTTTGTATATGCTGGTGGTGGTGGTGGTGGAAGTATTGGTATTATAAGTGTTGGTGTTGGAGGTGGTGGGTCCAAGGGATGTGGTGGTGGTGCTGGAAGTGATGATGGTGGTGAAGGTGGTAGTGGTTCTAAGATGTATTGAGAGCCAGGGTTCCTGCTTTTTTCTCACAATATTCATTTGATTTCATCATTGCAACAACTTTATTAGGTGGATGCAATTATACTAATTTTACAGATGAAACAGTTGAGGCTTAGAGAGAAACTAACTCTCTTTGGGGTCACACAGCTAATAAGGGAGGACCTAGAATTTAGCTGTAGAACTGCCTGACGGTGAAATCTGTATCATCTCATCAGGGCTGTTCTCCCCGGGATCGGCTTGCAGAGGCCAGGATGGGCATGTAGGAGGCGTGTGACGCAGTGGTCCTGCCTGCAGCATGGCTCATGCAGCTAGGAAATGAGAAATTAGCTCAGTCATTTATCTGTTCTGGAATCTGGAACATGTATTTACCACATTGTACCCCACCCTCGCGCGAGGAGAGCCACGATTAACTGAGTTTGAGAAGCAAGAAAAATGCTAAATGCGATAATCCCTCCATGGACCTGACCTGTTCAATCATTGTCTACTCTGTCCTCTCTCGGTATTTATTTCTCTTTGTTCCTAAATAAAAAGGAAACTTTTTATTATTAGCTTTCTCTCATTGCCTGCATTGGCCCTGCAACGTTTTAACTTCCTTTTATGGCTGAGCAATGAATGTAGCTTTTCCCCATACTTAAAATAGTAGTTTCTTGACCTATCTTTTTTAGATATAATACAAGACAATGTAAATTCATGACAACAGAGAATCTGTGCTGGAGAATGCTTGTTACCTTGTGTCAGTGCTACCAAGAAGTTTAAAAAGTCGTCTTCTCCGCTCCTGGAGGCCACTAATCATTAGAATTCTTGGCTAGGAGGCTTTCTTAGGATAAGTGGCCCACCTGGCAGTGTATCTGATACAAATCTACCCAGAATTTTTAGATACTTTTTAAAAATCCAGTTCCAAGTTGCTGTTGCTTCTGAACTACATTTCAGAAACAAAATCAGTTTTCAAACTAATTTGCTTTTTAAATAGTTTTATTTTGTTTTTTTGTTTTTTTAACTTTTGCAGCTGAATTATTAGTCTGCTTGGAGTAACTCTGTTGATATGTTTATAAATATAATTAGTTATAACCTTTAAGTGAAGCCTCCAGCCATTCTCTTTCAACAGAGAATTTCTTTTAAAATCTCTCTCTCTCTCTCTCTCTCTCTCTCTCTCTCTCTCTCTCTCTCTCTATCTCTATCTCTCTCTCTCTTCAAAGGTAAAGGTGCAGAAATAAAACTAAGTCCTATTTACATAGAGTTTAATTTTATTTTAGGGTACAGTAGGAAACAATTCCCAAAGGACAACTTACATTCTCACCCAATAAATGTTAACAATCTTAACTGTTTTAAAATGAACTATTCAGTTCAGTGTGTGTATCTGTGTGTGGGGAGTGGGGTGGGGGGAGGTGTGTATCAGCTCAGAGGAGAAGAGGGGGAGGGAGAGAGAGGAGGCAAAGAAGGGGGAAAGGAAGGGGTCACAGGGGACAGATTTGGGATCAGGGACTGGAGGCAGAGAAGTGGGGAGGGAGAGAAAAGGACAGGAAGCAGAGAGAGGAGTGGGAGGAGGGTACAGAGGACGGGGGAAAGGAAGGGAGAAGCAGGTGTCTATATATACCTATATCTACACTGATACCTCTATCTATCTATCTATTGGAAGAAAGGAGGCAGGAACTAGAGGGTGGGGAAGAGGAAGGGAGAGGGAAAGGGAGGGTAGGCAAAGAAAGAGGGAGGAGGGGAGCAGGGAGGCAGGCAGAGGGATGAAGACAGAAACTAAGAATATACAGCCCTGATTAGATTTCAGCTATTACTAAAGTGAACTGCAGCCTGGAATTCGTCCAGAAAACAATATGAGAGGAAGAAAATAAACATGGGATTCACTCAAGCTGCTTCTTTAGTAAAAATAGACAGCAATTTCGTCTTTGAAATCCAATGTACCTAACAATTGCCTAAGTACGTCTGAGGAGCCGGAGGAAGCTTGTGGACTCTTCCTGGGTTGTGCTGAATGGGTGGGCCTGGTACCTAGTCACCGATTCCTGCTTTCACAAATGTTCGATGAGCACCAATCCTGGTCCAGTGCCTTTGCGAGCTGCTGGGCGAGCTGTGGTGACGGAGATGCGGACCCTGCCATGGACAACCTGATGCTGTATGTGAGGAAGTAGACGGACAGGTCCTTGGTCATTCACTGGCGTGAATGTGTCGCCAGCCCTGGAAGCCTCTCTGTGCCTTCCTGGGCATCCTTCCCTCAGTGTTTCCTAACGGAGCTCTTACCACTGCTGCTCAGGCGGAAAAGGTCTGGTGATGAGCCGGCTGTCAGTGTCACCACCAGCCACCCCTGGCAGCAGCCACCCACTCTGTGCCTGCTCTTCTTCAGAAGAAAACTACCCAGCTCCTTCTGGGGCCCCATCCCCACACCAATGGCTCCTGTCACCACTTGGTGCCCTGTTCAGTGGAAACCAGAAGAGTAGCTGCTGGAACAACTTGGAATGGAAATAGATATAAGGAATTAATTAGAGGCAATGGAAGAGGGAATCCATTATGCCTAAATCACAACCCCAATGATTTGCTATTCTAACCACATATACATATTATATATATCATATACAGTATGATATATATAATATATATAAATTGTTCCTTTTTCTTTGGGGAAATTGTAAGTGCAGCTGAAGCAGATATGTAGCCCTGTATGTATAGTGTTGTTTCTGCAGAACTCAAAAAATTACAATTTTTGTCTTTGAAAAAAGAAAGAATCCACAAAGGCCATTAAGTTCCTTCCAGCTCTAAAATGCAATTATTCAGCAGTGTTATGCCCTCCTGAGACTCTGTGACCTTGTTTCATTATCTTGCTCTGGGCCTTGGTTGTCCAAGCTTAAAGAAATGCTGGGTGTCCCTCCAGCCGCTGTGTGCTGCCGTAGCCTGTCCCCACCAGCTTTCTCCAAGCATTCCGTGGACACTCCGCAGGGCCCTGTCCTTAGATACACTTCCATTCCGTTCCGCAACAGCTTTCTGAGCCAGGTAATCCATGCTCTTTGGTATCCAGATGACACAAATCTATGTTCCTCCTTCTCCAATATTGCCATCTCCGAAGGGTTTTCTTGAGTTGAAACCTATTGTCCTATTATAAATATACATCATGTAAATATACGTACATAAATGTAACCAGTAGTATTTTTCAGGATGGCAGTGTAGGAAACAAAAGAATAAAATATTGATCTCTAGGCATAAGCCAATTCATTTCCAATCAAGTTATCTGTATGTTTTCTGTAATACATACATTGTCTCATCATGAATATATAACAAACTGAGTTTATTTATTAATTTTTAAAAAGGCGGGGAGTTCCTTAACCGGTTTGGCTCACTGGGTAGAGCGTCGGCCTGCGGACTAAAGGGTCCCAGGTTCGATTCTGGTCAGGGGCATGTACCTTGGTTGCAGGCACATACCCATTAGGGAGTGTGCAGGAGGCAGCTGATTGATGTTTCTCTCTCATCAATGTTTCTAACTCTCTATCCCTCTCCCTTCCTCTCTGTAAAAAAATCAATTTTATATATATATATATTTTTTTTTTTTAAAAAAGGCAGGGAGTTATTGCAAATATATATGAACAGTGAATAAACCTCCAAGAGACTAAAGCGAGTCCCTACTTAAACATTAGTTTTCTGTGGATGGAACAGAAAAATAATTGAAGAGTTAAATATTTGAATGAAATGCCAGGTATTAATAGGTCAGTCAAGTGACAACAATATAGAATTTAACACATGGAAAAATCAATCAGGCAAGTACAGAATCAGAACCATTAGACCTGGAAGTATCTTAAGTAAAAAAAAAAAAAAAAAGGAAAGAAAAATTTGAGAGTTTTAATTGACCATAAGTCTTGAGTTACTCAGTAGTAAGTAAAGGTAACACTATGTAATGTCTGGTGCACTAGGCACACATCAGTTACACTCTTGCATGAAAACACATCTTGGTGCTACATCTTATGTGGGCCCTTATCTATTCTGTTGATGTTTATAGATATTTGCTTCCCCCAAATCTCACTGTCTCAGTGGCTGGAATCTCAACAGTTCCTAGAGTTTTGGTTTCAATCTAGTATATTGTTTTCCAGCAAAATCAATATCCAAAATAGAAGGCAGAAAAGAATGCAGTTTCACTCATTAGCAATTCTATAATCACTTTGATTTGTGTTTATAAGATACTTGAAGGGCATGAACAATACTTTTACATTTGAGAAATCGTATTCATTTCCTGTTTCCAAATTGTTCATACACTCAAGGGGCCATTTAAACATTAGGCTATTTCTCTTGCATAATTTTCATGAATTTTCTTTTTCAATTGATATAAAATATAGTACTCAAAAATGGACTTTCTTTGCTGCTGTTAGCTGGTAAATCAATCTGTATTATTGAATGCAATGCCTAGTGAAACACCCCATCATGTGCCTGCAGTGGATCATATCATAGTTCATGCGAACATAACACATCGTCTATTTACATCTGTTATATCCCCACCTGTTCACCCAGGGATTAGTAAATATAAATCTGCATTATAAACAAGGAAAGTTGGAATGAAATTTGACACATTACACCTTTGTACACCTTTGAGTTCCTCCTTAACGGATGTTGATTTATATTATGCTGTGCAAGGATATTATACGTCATAAAGCCTCAGACAAGCGATAGCACATAAGCGTTTCCTCTTGTATTTGATACGAGGCTCACGCGGTATTTGTTGAAAAGGTGAAAAGTAAATCAAATATGAAGTGTGAGTAACATCTGAATTCTTTCTAACTTTCTTAAGAAAAAAAAAGGGATCTGGAGGAAGTTGAAGAGGGTTTAAAGGGGACAAATGGTGATGGAAAGACACTTGACCTGGGGTGGTGAACACACAATACAATAGACAGATGATGTATGATAGCATTGTATACCTGAGACCGACATACTTTTATTAAACATTGTCACCCTAATAAAATAACTTTTAAAAGGGATGATTATAAAGATTCTTAAAATAATTTCAAAAATCAGCAGAAAAAAACAAAAAACACTCTAAATTAGTCTCTAACTTTTCAGAGGCACTTACATGAAATCATAACAAAAGTGCCCATCAGCACTTTTCATCCCTAGTAAATTGATGTTTGAGTTTTCGTAGTTGATATTCCAGTGATAAAACTCTATATGTTTATTATTGTGGCCGATTTACACCTTTGCCATTTTAGCAGCTGTGGTTTTTGTAGACATTACACTTGCCAGTGCATTGAACAGGAATTTCTGAAACCCATAAAATGACCTGTGTTGTCTGATCTGTGCCGGCAGTGCTGCCTTAAGAGCATATTTCAGCGAGGAAACAATCCTCCGAATCTCCCTGCTCTGCAAGTGGTGCTCCCTCCCCTGGTTAGGAAATAGCTTCAGTAAAGAGTGCAGGCACCCGCCAAAGAGCTGTAAAATTTACGGCAAAGGGCACTAGAACTTGCTCAGTATACTCAGGCTTTAGACCAGTGCCTGGTACACTGTAAATGGACGCAGATGGATATAAATGGACATAATATCCGTCTAGAAGCAGCTCTTGGATTCTCAGGATTAAGAAGCGACACATTCATGACCACTGTTATCTCTAGGGTAAATTAATTACATTTAGTACACCATTAGAATTACAAGCCGTCTCACCAACAGGGCTATACCATTTCATAGACAAGGGTCATAGTTGCAAGAGATCACTTTCTCCACATGAATGTGTGGTTACCCATCACTAAGCAGCCTGTGTAATGTGACCAGTGTAACAGAGCCTGAAGGACATGAGGGCTGGAGTCAGATGACCTGGTTCAAGCCCTAGCTCAACTATTCACTTGGAAGGTGATGTAGAACTAGTTATTTAACGTCCCTCTGCCCCAGTTTCCTCATCTATGAAACAGGGCAAATAGCTGTACATCATGATTTTTAATACGAAGTAAATGAAATAATGTGTAAAATAGTAAGAATCATCCCTGACACATGCCAAAACCCAATCCATGTTAGTTATTGCTAAGATACTGACTCAAAAATAACTTGGGTGTCTGTATAAAAATAATGTATCTAATATATTTTCATATAAGGAGAAAATTATAAATAATTTTTACATTTTAGTGTATATAATCTTTGTTTTGTTCCTGCTTTTGCTGTGCAGATCTGTGTTTAAAGTATGCTTTTTTCTTTTCTTTTTTTTTTTTATTGATTTCAGAGAGGAAGGGAGAGAGAGAAAGAGATAGAAACATCAGTGATGAGAGTGAATCATTGACTGGCTGCCTCTTGCACGCCTTCCACTGTGGACTGAGCCTGCAACCCGGGCATGTGCCCTTGACCAGAATCGAACCTGGGACCCTTCAGTCTGCAGGCCAATGTTCTATCCACTGAGCCAAACCAGCAAGGGCTAAAATATTTCTTAAATAAAATTATTTAAAATAAAATCTTGATAGCTGAATAATATCCTATTATATAAATACAATTTACCTAGTGAGGCCCTATTATTTTTTTAAATATTATTTGGTTTTGTTTTCTTGTTATAAATGTTTAGATGTAAATAATGAATGCCATAGTGGACACTTAAAAAATTTTTAGTTGACGTATTAGATTATTTCTTTAGGCTAGCTACTTAAATTGGAGTAAATAGACCAAAATATATAGATATGTTAAGGCTCTTAATAATTTTCAAGTGATTTTGAGAAAATCTGTACCAATTTATATTTTTAATATCTATACATAATTTTCTAATGGGACTGATTGTTTATTAGAAAAACCTTATTGTACTTACACATGGAACTGCTTCCTTTGAAATTTTTCTGCTAGCATTCATTGTGTCAAATATTGTACCAGCCATTAACGTACTTTACATTTATGACCTTGAAGTGTGCCTGGATTCCAATATATCATTATTGTTCAAAACCCTTCTAAATTCCTCTTTTGAAATTATGGTTATAGCCATAGATATTACCTATTTTAAAAAAATTTTCTATGACATTATCTTGCCTGGTCATTCACTTTATTCAACAGTCTTAGTGCCAAACACTTTAGGCTGGTTCCCCAAATTAAATCCAATAAAAAATGTGTTTTCAAAACCATTTATCAAGCTTGTATTGCAATATTATAGAATGGGTACTATTCTTGGGTTGAAATATCTCATTTGCTGCTCTTATAGAATAGCGAATTTAGTTATATGTTGAAGACTCACTTTCCTTTTCTGAAAAATGGTGAAAATAGTTCTTAATCAAAGTACTTTGATGAATATCTTGAGATAGAGTATGTGAAAATGCTTTATTAATGAAAAATGGTATTTAATAATAATGTTATTAGCAAATATCAAATATAATTTATAGGTGAGTTCAAAGAGTGCTAATACATGTATTAAAATGGCATGTCAGAATGATGATGATGACTATATTTACATAGTAGGAAAATCTCATTTATAGTTCTACTTTTCCCTTGCTATTTCTGCAAATAGATATCTGCAAAGCTTTATTTTTCATACACATTAAACTGTTGGTGGAATATAGAAGCTTCTTTTACTAGTCACTAGAAAGCTTCTAATGCAAACCAAATAAATCTACTTTCAGTGTGATCCCTAGTTTCCGATGTTGATTTCCTCCTAGTTTCATCCGTCGCAAGTAAAATTGCAACGTTCTCATATTCTGATTTTTTTATTACATAATTTCATTGACCTCAGAGGGGTGCTGTAATAACCTAACAAAACCATCTCTAAGACTTACTGCCAGTTGCTTTAGTGAAAACAGGCATGCATTCTATCCCTGGCCCATGATTTATTAAAAGTATTTCTGAAATAGGTTTTATCTAATACTTGCTTGCAGAGGTTACCTCTTCCTTTTTTCTTCCATTTCTCTCTCTCTTCTCCTGTTTACTCTTCTCACTCTTAGCCTGTGGTTGCTCCTAGGTGCTGGGCTACTTTTTACAGCCTTGTTTCCCCCAGCTATTTTAATTACTGTCTCCCATCGCCCAGATTCAGGCAGTCCGATTATGTTTTATTGTGTCCTTTGTGTAAAGGGAATTCCGAAGTGCCAACACCCCACGTGGTTTTAGGAAGGAAATGCAGAAAGCAAAGCAAGAGACAATCTCGCTGCTTAGTGTTTCCTAATTGGCCTTTGTGTGAATCTGCAGAGCTGTGCCATCACACTAAAGATATCCACAGTCTGAAAGGAAATGTTCGAGTGAAATGGGTGGAAAGGCACAAACTTCCAGTTATAAGATATGTAAGTCCTGAGCTGATGTACATCATGGTGACTATCCTATGTAATAAAAGGCTAATATGCAAATCGACCAAATGGTGGAATGATGTTCCATGGGGAGCAGGCCTAAGCCATCAGTCGGACATCCCCCAAGGGCTCCCAGACTGCAAGAGGGCACAGGCCAGGCTGAGGGGAAACCGCCCCCCCCCACAAGTGCACAAGTTTTGTGCACCAGGCCTCTAGTAGTTAATAATACTGTATTATATATATTTGACAGTTGCTAAGAGAGTAGATCTTAAAAGTTCTCAGAGCAAGAAAAAAAATTTATAGCTATGTGTGGTGATGCATATTTAACAGACTTACTGTGGTGATAATTTTGTAAAACATACAGATGTTCAATTGTTATGTTATACACCTGAAACTAATACACTGTTGTATGTTTATGGTATCTCAATTAAAAATATTGTTGGCAATTCTGCCAGATCAATAGAAGAAGACATTGATAAATTAAGGCTGGGAGGGTTATCTGAATGCTGGCATATCTTACAGAGAAGACCATAAAATAAATACTTTTGCAGGTATGAGTTTAGATTGGATAATATCTATTTTAACCACAAACTTTCACCAAAGATGTATTAAACAATATTTGATGCCCTGAACTCTATCAGGAGCTGGGTGACAGGGAGGAAAGAAATAGAGAAGGCAATTAGAAGAATGAAGAAAATATGGCCCGGCCCATGGCCACACTCTCCATCTAGGGAAGTGTAACTTCTCTTGACTGTCCCCTTTGCTTAAAGAGACCCTCCAGAAGAAGGTTAGGAAGGTCAGTTATTTAAAAGATATTTGTTGAATGTCACCAAGTTGGGAAAGTGGAGTAAATACAATAGGGAGGGTCTTTGTTGAGAGGAGCTGACAGCTGATGCAGGCAGATCCATCAGAAAGCAACAGGCTGGGAGCCATGGGAGCCACAGTTACAGAGGAATGAGATTTTCCCAGGCAGGCGGCCTGTGGGACGGGAGGAAAAGGCTCCACCGAGGTGAAGGAGTAAAACTTCAAAAAATAGAAATGGAGAAATAGACATCAGTGAAAGGCAGGGAGGGAGCATGCTACAAAGAAAGGATAAACCATTGACGTTTACTAGTAGAAGTGAAGGAACCTTAGATTGTATCTTGGTTAAACATCTTTCACAGGTAACGAAATAGTCCAAGAGAAATCTAGTGAGCGACTTACTCAGATCAGACGGTTAGTAAGGGACAGAACTGATCCTGGAACCCCCTCAGCCTAATCTGTCCACTTTTTGGCTTTACCATCATGAAGTAGGACCATCATGGGAAAGAAATGGGGAAACGCCACACAGACAGGGGTTGCCTTGTTCCCGTTGTATGGAGATGCGGACAGCATGTGACATAGATATGGGGAGTACATAGCAGACGCTCACCTACCTAAATGTAAACCCCAAGTGGTAAATGTGAGACATGAGGTCCTTCTGTGGATGTCTCTCGGCTGCTGGAAAGTGATCCCCAAGATGGTTTCACTTGGAACCAACAGAGGATGAGCTGACAATGGTTAGGTCGTCGACCTGGGGGAAATGCAGAGCCACACAGGCTCTGTCTTCGTGGCCAGGACCACACACCTAGTGGCATTGGATGGGAGAGGCCCTGGGCTTCCCCAGAGCTTCACACACTGATTTCATCGGTTGGTCCAGGAAGACACCCCACCCCTCCCGTTTATTAGCATACCCTCCACACTCAGCCCTCAC